AATTAAATAACTGTAATTTTTTTTAATTTTGACCTGCATACTTTTTAAGAAAAAACTTATGCACAGTCTAAAAGTATCACTCACATAATAATTATCACGCACGCACTCTCACATATACAGACCTTTTAAATGATCAAATTAAATCTTTTAAGCCTCGTAATTCGTTATATGAATAAATAAGCATACAGTAAACAGCCCAGATCTTTTTCTCTCAAATAATATGGTTGACCAGATTAAATAAAGTAGAGAAGGATAGAATTTAAAATGTTAAATTATTATATTTTATTTACTAAATTTTAAGTTTAAAAAATATTAAATAAATATATAAATTATAAAAATATTATTTTTATTTTTACTAACAAGGATTAGTGAATTGTAGTCGGAATGGGGCAATGGATGGTGATAGTGGTGGCTGACAAGCACTCTATAATATTGTCCAATAAAACAAATTTATATTTTAATATTTTGGTATATAAGTATTATGAATAATATTATTTAGAATATTGTATAAAAGTTAGACACAAATTATCTCAATTCTCTCGTATAATTTACGTGAATTTAGCTAAATAGTTATTTTGTTTAAATATACCCTTAAATAAGAATACACTAGTATAATTTACGTGAATTTAGCTAAATAGTTATTTTGTTTAAATATACCCTTAAATAAGAATACACTAAATAAAGGTTCAAATGAGTTTTATTAAATACCAACGTTAATACTAAATATTTTATATTAATTACTACAATCCTGTGGACAAGTCCCAAGAGTTTGGCCTTTTACTTTCAGTGATTGGGGCAAAAAGCTTAGCTTGGAAATTTTGGAATTATTGGGTCGATCCGGTTGCTGCATTTCTGTATTTTTTCTGTTTATATTTGAAAATCATATATTATGTTTTTATATTTAATAATATTAACTGTATATGCATAATAAAAAAAGTAAATGTTGTTAAAATAAATTTGAATTTTATTAGATAAAAAATATAAAATAATGAATTTATTTCCATAATTGAAAAAAAGAAAGAAAAGAAAACCAAACCTTACGTAAAGAACAAACATAAAAGGTGGAGAAGTATTGCTTTTTGCTTTGGGAACTTCATGATACCTCGCTTCTGGAACCGGGATTCTTTTGTACTAGGATTCGATATGATGAAGTGTTTTGGCTACAAAAAAAAAATTTCGGAGTTAATTTTTGTAATTTTTATGTTACTGAATAAAGAATTAATTATTTTTAATATTTAATTAATTTTAATTAAATAACTGTAATTTTTTTAATTTTTAACCTGCATCCTTTTTAAGAAAAAAACTTATGCACAGTCCAAAAGTATCACTTACATAATAATTATCACGCACGCACTTCCACATATATAGATCTTTTAAATGATCAAATTAAATCTTTTAAGCCTCGTAATTCGTTATATAAATAACTAAGCATACCGGTAAACAGTCTAGATCTTTTTCCTCAAAATAATTTGGTTGACCAGATTAAATAAAGTAGAGAAGGATAGAATTTAAAGTGTTAAATTATTATATTTCATTTACTAAATTTTAAGTTTAATAAAATATTAAATAAATATATAAATTATAAATATATTATTTTTATTTTTACTAACATGGATTAGTGAATTGTAGCCAGCATAGCACAATAGATGGTGACAGTGGATGACTGACAAGCACTCTGTAATATTGTCCAATAAAACAAATGTATATTTTAATATTTTGGTATATGAATATTATGAATAATATTATCTAAAAATATTGTATAAAAGTTGTACAAAATTATTTCAATTCCTTCGTATAATTTACGTGAATTTAGCTGGATAGTTATTTTGTTTAAATTATTTGTCTAACTTTATTACCAGCTTGTCAAATATCGGATAATGGCATTAACAATATGATTAAAATTAAATTTAAAAATAATTAAAGTAAAATTAAAATAGTAATTTAAAAACCAGGTTCTTTAGAAGTTACCTCTACTTTGATTTTGAGTTTTAATTAGAAACCAAAACTAGAGTAATTATCCTAGATTTTGAACCAGGACATAAAAATTTTTGGAACCAAACATGTAAAACTAAATTTCTCAAATCCCATGTTTGGATTTTCCCTAAACCTAGGGTTAGGCTCGGAGGAACCCAATTATAAATGAGGCTTTAACCAGTACTTGTCCACAGCAGTTTCAAACATGCCTTAATAGTTGGGGAGGATGTTTAATTAAGGAAAATGATAAACTCTTTTATACTCTTTGGAAAGAGTCTAGCTCTTTCCTTTGGTGGTTGTTGCAAAAAGTTTAACTTGGAAATTTTGGGTTTTTTTTATGTTTTTTCTGTTTATATTTGAAAATTGTATAAAATTCTTTATATTTAATTATGTGAACTATGTATGTATAATAAAAGAAAGTAAACGTAGTTAGAATAAATTTGAATTTTGTTAAATAAATAAAATTATGAAAGAACTAATTTTTTTATTCCATAATTGAAGAATTGAAAAAGAAAGAAAACCAAACCCCAGGTAAAGAACACACAAAAGAGTTGGAGATGTATTACTTTTTGCTTTGGGAACTTCATGATAAGTCGCATCCTACTTTTCTTTAGTATCTGGAACAGAAATTCGTTTGTATTTCGGTTGCAGATGACGATGTGTTTTGGCTGCACAAAATTTTTTGGGATTAATTTTTGTAATGTTTGGTGTTAAATTAAGAAATAATTTTATAAACTGTTAATTAATTAAAAATTAATTTTACTTAAATAACCTAACTGGGAAAACCTGTTCTTTTAAGGTTTCTCAAGTTCTCAAGGATTTCAAAGCACTTTAGAACACAATGTTATAAAAGGGGGACTCGGGGACTCTAAATTATCCAAGAAACATCTACCAAAATCTAACCTTTGTAGAAAACCCTCCAAAAATTCTGACCATTCTTGAAAGAGAAAAACCTCGATCCAACTAAGTAGAGAGTTGAAAAGGGCGGTCCTCCTCAACCCAAGGAAGCCAAATTAGCATACCAACGTGCATTCAAGGAACTTGATTTCATAGCCACCCTGAGAAAGCCCGACAACTGTTGTCATACCATTGGACAGAATTTAGGTTTGTGTTTTTCCATTTATTAGAAGTATTTAGATAGAGATTTTTTTTAATAGTTATAATTGGCAAATTAGCCTTTACAATTGAATTGATCATTTAATTTTTTATTATATAATTGCTCTTGTTTGAATTTGGATCACTCTCATGTCATTATATACGACAATAATAATAAGAATAATATTATTTTAAAAAATTAAGTAAATGTTAAATAAAATTATTTTATATTTCTTATATAATTTTTTAATCTAGTTAGACATTAATTCCGTTCAAAATATTTATCTAGCTATATTATTAAACTTATCAAATATCGAATAAAGATAAATTTTGTTCGTCGTTGTCTAGCCTGCTAAACAAGCCTTTGAAATATAGCGGGAGAGCGACGAGAGTCTGCGTATTTCGTTATCTGATAGGGCATTTGCTTTAAAGTTTTACAGCTTTAATTTCTTAATTTAATGTATGGTTGGATTGTGTTGGGAAACACTGAATCATTTCTTCCCTTTGCACCCTTATAAAATACTAGGTGGACCATCTCTCTCCACGTTCGATCGCAAGAGAAAAAAACAAAAATGTATTTACAGCCAGTAGTTAACAGTGACAGGAGAGGCAACAACGGAGTCGATGAAGTCAAAGCAGAGTCACTCTCCGATAACACACCACTGTCCACGTCATACAACGAGCGAATCCGCCCCTTGTTGAATGCCATCGATCGCCTTCGTCTCCTCAAGGTTGCCCAAGAAGGCATTCAACTTCCCACCATCGTGGTCGTGGGTGATCAATCTTCCGGCAAGTCTAGCGTCCTTGAATCCCTCGCCGGCATCAATCTCCCCCGTGGCCAAGGAATATGTACCAGGCAAGAGTAAAAATTTGTGTTTCATGATCTTGTTCGTTCAATTCTTTTTCGTGTTCAAACATTTCAAATTTCTATTAATATTATTAGAAACAAATAATTCACAGAAAAATAAGGGAAATGGTGTCAATACTTTTATTCTTTTGGTTTTTGGTGATGCTTCTTGCCAGGGTCCCTCTTATTATGCGCCTTCAGCACCACCCCAGTCCTCAACCCAATCTCCGCCTCGAATTCAACGGCAAAAGTATTGACACTGATGAAACCCACGTCGCCAATGTCATCGAACTTGCCACAGATGAGATAGCTGGCACGGAAAAGGGATTTCAAACTCCCCTTTGACTTTGATCGTTGAGAAAATGGGGGTTCCAGACCTTACAATGGTGGATCTTCCCGGAATCACGAGGGTCCCTGTTCACGGCCAACCCCAAGATATCTATGAGCAAATAACTGGGATTATAATGGAGTACATAAAGCCAGAGGAGAGCATAATACTCAATGTTCTTTCTGCAACTGTAGATTTTCCAACTTGCGAGTCGATAAGAATGTCTCAAAGGGTTGACAAAACTGGAAAAAGGACTCTAGCTGTGGTTACCAAAGTCGATAAAGCTCCTGAAGGTAGGTGTGCATTCTCTCTTTAACCTCATCTCTATAATTCGAAATCTTTTAAATCTCCCCAAAATTTTACAAAAATAATTACAATAATTAAATTCTTATATTTGTAATGTCTATTGTCATTCTCAACTTGAAGGCTTGCTTGAGAAGGTTACTGCCGACGATGTTAACATCGGCCTAGGATACGTCTGTGTGAGGAACCGAATTGGTGAGGGAATCTTATGAGGAGGCAAGGAGAGAAGAAACCAGTCTTTTTCAGACCCATCCTCTACTTTCCAAAATTGACAAGTCCATGGTGGGCATTCCGATCCTTGCACAGAGGCTGGTTCAGATACAAGCATCCATAATCTCAAAATGCTTGCCAGATATTATAAGAAAGATCAATGAAAAGCACAAGGAGAATGTTTTGGAACTGAGCAAATTGCCAAAAAACCTATCTTCTGTTGCTGAGGCGACGATTACATTCATGGGGATTATAGGATCGTTGAAGGACTCTCTTAGAAAGATTTTGGTAAGAGCTGAATTCGATGAATACTTGGACGATAAAAACATGCATTGCACGGCTCGTATAGCCGAGATGTTGGATAACTTTTCGAGGAAGCTTCAAAAGAGTGCAGAAAATAACTTCACAGAGGACTTTCTATTGGAAGAGATTAAGGTTCTGGAAGAAGCAAAAGGGATTTGGCTCCCCAACTTCTTGCCCCGCCAAGCTTTCCGCACAATGCTGCAAAGGAAACTTGACAAGATATCACATTTGCCCTTAGAATTCATGGGAGAAGTATGGGATTACATTGAAACTGTTGTCATAATTGTTTTGAAGCACCATTCAAAGGAATACCCACAACTTCAATCTTCCATGACAAGAGCAGTGAAAAACCTTGTTGAGAAGATGAAGGAAAAGGCGTTTGATCAAGTGACAGAGATGATAAAAATGGAGAAGGTGACAGACTATACTTGTGATGAAGAGTACATGGAGGTTTGGGGAAAACTTATGGCTTCTCAAAATGAATTTACGTGGGTCACGAATGATCTGGCAATTACGGGGGTCATGAAATATCCCGCTGTGCCGTCAAATTTGAAAATTGAGGGTTTCGGGACAGTCGAAGTTAAGCATTTGATAAATTATCCTAGTAGTATCAGAGATCAGGCTTTGATTTGAAGATGAGAATTGTTTCTTACTGGAAGATTGTCATTAAAAGGATTACTGATGCTACGGCTCTGAACTTGCTGCTAAGCTTGGGACAATCTGCTTGATCGAGAAATAGAGGCGGAGATTGTGAACCACATAATGGGTGGTCAAGGCAGTGAGATCAAGCAGATGCTAGGAGAATCCCCATTATTTGCAGCCAAGCGTGAGAGGCTGAACAAAAGTATTATGTTGCTAAAGGAGTCAAAGGAAGTCATGGATCAGATAATGGATAGGGAAGTCCAATGGTAATTGCGTTTAATCTTTGTTGCAGGTTAATACATGTTTTTGTGTTGTTTTTGTTTTAATCTTATCCCATGGACAAGTGATGTTTGACTTTTGGCTTTCGCAGGTTTTGAATTTTCAGCTTGTTTTGGGTTCTTATTCCTGTTGAGTATCCTGAGATAGAGCCAGGAATGTGATTGGAAAAATGGTGTTCTAAAGACAGTAGTGTCCCTTGTTGTCTGCTGTTGTTCTGGAATAAATTTGCTCTCTGTGAAGTGGGGCATTGACAATTGAAATTGTTGTAATGGAATACGATTTTTCTGATTTCCTTTGGAAATGATTTTCAAGCAACTGTTTCAAAAGATGAAAATTGGAAAGCATGTCTAATAATGTACTCTTTTGAAAAAATACACAAAAAAAATTATATATTTTTGACATGTTTGTCAACTTCACATGTGATCTCCGTTGTGTCACCCAACTTCAATTTGTTTTGACGTGATCACATATAAATGCTGAGTTATGTAAGTGTTACAATAAGATCACTCCATTTATCGGCCAATCAAATTTGTTTTATGGCAAGTAAGCATCTTCCTTCCATGTGGTTTTTAGATCTCTAATTTTTTTTGTTACCAAATGAAGTTAAACAAATTATAAATTAAAAACAAAACACTAGAAGCCTTTAGTATATCACTGCCACCGTCGGCCTCTCCTCCGGCAATTGCTCAATGCGATGCTGGATTCCTCCTGGTAAGCGCCTTTACTCCTTAGACTTGAGGCAAGTTGATAATTCCGTGTTCGGCGTGTTCATTTCCATAATTCCAACCACTGCAGCTTCTCCTTGTTTGCGGAGTATTTACTATTAATTTTCTTGTTAGAATATTTCAGGATATTTAATAGTAAGTGTTTACACATTAAATAATAAAATAAATTGTGTTATTAATAATATTCTTTCGTCAAGACTTAATCCTATTCCTAAATCTATTCAATTTTTAACCAAACAATTGAAAGTACGAAGAACAGAATTAAAAAAAAAAAATAAAAAAAAATCCAAACATGAAATCATCAGGATAAAATTAAATTTAAAATACCATGTGAAGTTCTAGTAATTGTAAAAAGTAGAATTCAATTCATGTTTTGATGAAACAAAAACCAAAATCTATATAAAAACATCTTGAATATTTCTCAGTTGAAATAAATAAAACAATAGAAATAAAAACCAAGAAAATCCAATAGTAGTTTGTTTTCTTGATCTTCAATCTGCCGCAAACAAGCAAGCAAAAATTCCAACAAGAAGTTGCATTTTTCCTAGGCTTCAACCACAAAACACTTTGGAAAAATTACCAAGCCGATTAGCCCGATGGGATTAAATCCTCGAAAGGGCATGTCACACCTCACTCCCCTTAACCAAGCAAGGCATAACAATAGAGTATAACCAATGCACTACCGAGTCAGAAGTCTAGCAACATGTCAGCTATTGTAACTCCTATTATTTTTAACTCAATAGACCTTATGTCTGAATATCTACTTAATCTCATAAGAAATGTCACTGTACAACCTGTATGTCCTATATAATATTCAACTATAGAATCATGCAACCCTGTGATAGGATGAATATCACATCCTATTAGCCGAGTAGCAATTATATGAAGCTTAAGTAATCTTGTAAATCTACTACATAAGTATCATTTACTAACTAATAAAACCCATATAATTTAATATCCATATATTCACTCCATCACTATTTAATACATCACCTCTCAAATCCTCACTAAATTTAATAAATACATAATTTAAATCTAAATATCCTAGAGACTAGTCTAACCTTGTGCTAGGAAGTACAGCGATTGATCTAAGCAATGTAACCATTGAAGTCCTAGCTAGGTGTTTCGGTGTCTACAAGAGAAAAATGGGTGAGATTAGAATCATAGTGAATGGCATTCAAGCTAATCTTAGTAGAAACAATTAAGGTTTGTACTTCTAATAACATAAGCAGGTTTCATAAAAATCTTCCACAGGAAGAATAAAATAGAAAAAAAAATAACATTCATGAGATTCATAAAAAGTTTCTGTCATATTGCCAGGAAGAAATTCGTATAGTAGAATCAAGCAGTAGGCATTAGAAAAATCAGAAATGACCATCTATGTCATCAGGAAAATCATAAATAATCATCTGCTCAGCATAAACATATGCATATATAATTCTGGTCAGATGTGCACAATCAAAAATGCTAAGGTAGTAAAACTATAACATATAATCTGGTCTTTCATTAGGTCAAAAAAAAGAAATATGTCAGGTGCTACTATACTGTGTGATCTGCACCAAGGGTCATCACTCCCTGGCCAAACTAACACAAACTCTGACATCTAGGCCCCATGGGGCTAATAATCACATATATCATATGCTCTAGGTAGAACAACCACCTACCTTAGATGGCTACCAGACATTCTAGTCTGGTTACTGAAACACTAAAATATCATAAAACTTTGACATAAAAGCATATATTCGAAATCTAAATATAGTTGAATAGCTTCCTTTTTTCAAGTATAAACATAAGGGTGGATGCAAAATAGGTTTTATTCAATAGAAAATACATTGTTAGAAAACATACTAAGATTAGAAAGAAATTCTACTCACTATGTATAGAAAATCTGTGGATGTGATCTTGGAACCATTTGCTCAGGGTTTGGTTCGACTTTGCTTTCCCCTCCTATAGGTGGGATACATGCATCTATGAATAAAATGTCCTAAATGCATAATGCCAATGTATGCAAAATGTTTTAGATTAGAGGTTAAAAATTCATTCTTTAAGTCCCTTAATATTGCTGCAACTTTCAGCACTTGTATAAATGAGCTTAGTTTGGAATTCAGCTTGCATTTTTCTTTTATTTCTTGCATAACCATATATCTACTTTGGACCGCTCTTTGGCCTATCTTATTTCCCTATTTCGTGCCCCTTAAGGGTGTATAACTTCCCCAATTCATCTCCCAAAAACAGAATTTTCTACTTAATGTTTTCTACACACACACACACATGCTCTTCTAGTTGACTATGTTTTAGTTTGGTGCAAATTTTGATGTTGTCTTAGCTTCCTTTTGGTAAGCATATTTAATTATCTTTTAGGCTATTCAAATTCCTTGATCTAAAGCTTGTTTATACCCTTTAGAGGTTCAACAATATAGGGAAAAGTTGTAGAAAATTTTGCTAAGCGCATCCTTTATTAGACCCTTAGCTAGATTTAGTTGAAGTTTATATCAAATTTTGATATTTTTCCTAATTCTCCCTTCTAGGCTAGTCTAGCCACACTCTAAACTACAAGCCCATTTAATGCCAAATAGAATAAGACTACTGAAATTTCCGCAGAAAATTTTCTACACACCTTCTTTAACTCATTTAACTAGCTATAACTTAATTTGACCAAGATTGTGGTTTCTTTTTAGCTTTTTTTCTTACGTTGGCTTGGCCACCTCCTACACTACTTATTAACCTTGGAACTAAGCACATTTAGTGCCCTAAATTTTCAGCCAAATAAAGCAGACTTGCTAAAATTTCCTACTAAAAATTTTTTTGCGCACTCTCTTAATTTGCTAACTGTAGCTTAATTTAGGCCTAAATTTTGATTTCTTCTTAACTTTCCTTCTTAAGTTGATATAATCATCTTCTAAAATACCCATTAATCATGGATTAGAGCTCAATATAGTCCTTCAAAAATTTCAGCTAGCAAAGGTTTAGTTGAAGAAAATTTCTAGCTTTACCCCAACCTTGTTCAACTTCAATTTTTAATTTTGTTTCTTAACTTTCTTTGGCTTAACTTCCTCTTTTTCTATTTCAACATATCCTCCCTGCTTCACCTTTGTTTCGAGCTCTAAAAATAGCATCAAACTCCACAATTTAACCATGAAAAACCCTAGGAACAAGGGAGGCATTAGGCTAGTTGTTTAAGGGTAAAAGTGGGATTGGAAATTTAAGGGACAAGGGAGAAAGTTGAAGTTAAAAAGAGGGGCATTATAGTCATTTCACATGGGGGCTTGTGGGGCCCACTCTTTGCTGACCTAAAAAGGGGTATAAATACCCCCTTGAGACTTCTAGTTGCTACATAAGGTAGCCAAGGAGCAAAGAAAAGAAAGAGGAGAAAAGGGAAGAAGAAAAAAAAGAGAAGAAGAGAAAGAAAGGAAAATAAGGGGAAAGGTAAGTAAATTGTAAAAATCCGTAGTTTATGTTATTTTGTGTCTAATTTTTCATAGATTATGTTCAATCCTTCCATGCTCTATCACATGTTGGATTTATATGTCATTTTTATGTAGCGAAGCATGCTGAAATTGTGGTGAAACCGAAGCCCTAGGAGATGTAAATAAGAAGAAAAGTTAATAGCAAGATGAAATTAGTTGGAATATTGTTTTACTTGAAATTAGTTGGAATATTATTTTCCTTAGAAGAGTAAAAGGTTTCTATGAATTTTTAGGAGAACTTTGAGTGATATAAGAGAGCTGAGACAAAGCAAAAATAGGGGGGGGTTGTTCAGCCATCATGAAAAAAAAGGTAAAAATGATTTGAAAATTTGAAATTAAGAAAGAACAAGGAGAAAGGTGAGGATGGGAGAAGAACAGAAATTTCTGCAATCCTTTTCTCCCTTTGGCCAAAACTTTGAAGCAAGAAATGAGCCTTTATTTGAGGTTAAGAGGTAGCATAAAGAGTGATTAAGTAAATTAAAGAAAAAGAGTGGAGAAAAGGAGTAAAATTAGTTTTAAA